TTTTTCCCCCAAAGCCCCAGTAGATAGTTGTATGTCACAGCTGCACATCCTTCTAGTTGCTGTATGTGGGACGCGGCCTCAGCATGGCCAGAGAAGCGGAGCGTCGGTGCACGGCCGGGATCCAAACCCGGGCCGCCAGCAGCGGAGCGCACGCACTTAACCACTAAGCCACGGGGCCGCCCCTTGCATATTAATTCTTTAGGGACCCAAAACAGCAGAAAGATGCCTGGAAACTGATGTCTGCCCGTGTCTCGAGCTGCCTGTGTGATGCTGGCAGGGCCCTTTGCTACTCCGTTCCTCCACCTGGAAAATGGACTAACTGGCCTGATTCACCTCACTGAGCAGGTGGAGGCTAACTGACAGCTGCAGAGCACTCGGAGTGGCACCTTAGGAAGAAGGTGCAGATGTACTGATGGCGTTTTCAAACTACCAATATCAGCAGGGAAATCATGGCGAGGATCATAAGAGCAGGACCTCCCGCCCGCAGAATGAGTTTGCATCTCGGCTCTTCCCTCCCACTGTTGCAGGAACGAATCAGGTGCTGGGGGGAGAGCTGCACTGACACACATCTTCAGCGCTGAGGGATCAAATGGGATGTTTTACTGCATCCAACAAGGCCCAGGAATGTCCTCAGGCACTTCCAAATGGTCGTAAAATATCCTAGGAGGGCAGGCAGGTTTTGTAGGCTCCTCAGCGCCTCCCAAAGGGCAACTGCCTCACCGGGTGAGGTCTCCCAATCGAAAAGAGGGACAAAGAGGGACTGGGGTGTGGTCTTTTGGAAAAGAGGCTAGTAGAATCTTCTGTCTAGAGAGCTATGAAAAAGAAGAAAATGGTAAGCTCTCAACAGTTAAGAGGCACCTGGACACATAGTTTGAGTAAGGTAGGAGTGGCCTCAGGGAGGAGCCCAGGCGTCACACCCAGGAGAAGCGCTCCCTGAGACCAGCCATGCCTCCCGATGCCTTCCCTGTGCTCCCAGAGCCTGGGAAGAGCTTCTCTTTTGTGTGCTCTATGTCCACATCTGGTGCCCGTGCTGCTCCTTGCTAATCCTTGCTCCCCAGCCCACTCCCATTCCCCTTTCCTCTCCTCTCTCCCACCTCTGCCAAGTTCCAACACAACAAAGAGAAGGTTCTGGAGCCAGGGAGCCAGTGCACTGCCTTTTATGTCAGGGCAGAGGATGCTCCAACAAACAACGCCCAGTTTTCAAAGCAGGCAGAGCCACACGGGACCCGTAACCGGGGTCATGGGAGGGCTGAACACAGTAGCCACACACGCAGCATGAACTGTGCAGCAGCCCTCTTCAGGCAGGCAGTGCAGACCAGAGGGCACCAGGCACACTCTGGCCGTTTGCTTTAATTGCAGGAGCCGCCTTCCGCACATATTCAATCTCACCCTGTGATCTATCACTTGCCCAGGTGTTTTAAGTGTTCTACTTCATTTCGACAGCCCTGCATCTCCAAGGGAAGTCCGTGCAAACTGAAGATGACATTGGACTTTTATGTCTTCCTGATCCAAGACAGGTGGCTAGAGCTTCAGATAAACGTCAAGGCTCCTCATTCCTGTTCCTCCATCAGCGGAAACCACAGCTGGACCTTGATGGTTCAAACCATTTACTAATAAAACAAGCTTTCTAAGCTCTACGACCTCCATGATTCTCATCTGTCGATTTCCTTTGAAATCCCGTGCTCCCTCGGAGACCACAGGCACACAGATGACAAGTTAGCTGGCACTCAGACCAGCTCAGGTTTGGGAGTGAAATCTGTCCCTTGGGAGGGGATGAAAGCAAGACCCTGAAGGGCGCATGCTCCAGGACCCCACGTTCACCTCCAGAGTGCTGCACAGCTAAGCCACACCAGGCCACCGCTCACCTCACCAGCACAGTGGCTCTGAAGGCAAGAAGCCTGAGCCCAAGACACGCAGGCCCTCCTCACCCCAGCCCCACTGTCAGACCTCTCTCTCTCACTCAAAAGACTCAGATGCCAGGAACACACTTCGCTGTCGCTCCCCCTGAGAATGAAATGAATCCAGGTTCCCTAGGGCAGCGTTTGATCTTTTGATCGCTAGTGCCGCTCTGATTCAGATGCAAATGCCAAACCAGTTGCACTGATTATCGATTGGGGAAAAAAACAAAATGTGGGGAGTTAAGATTAGCAGGAGGAGGAAAATATACCCTTGCAAACCCAAATCAGATAGTAGAAGGAAACAGTGAAGTTAATTCTGGCCTTTTTAAAGTTTTTACCTCTAAACACAAGGAAATTAACACGATTAGTGGATATGCTTATCACAAATTGTGTACATAAATGTGGTGCGTCCCTCGCCACAGGCTCACAGGCAGATTTGTTTCTCTCTATATTTTTAAGCCCTTGCTGAGCTCTCACGGTGAACCAAGCGTTTCCTGGGCATTAACCCATTGAATCCTTATAGCAGTCCTGGGGAGTAAGGAGTATTTTTATTCACCTTTTACAGGTGAGGACACTGAGCCTTAAGAGAAAGTAAGAATTAGAGAGAGAGTAAGTGGCAGGGCAGCGGTAACCTCAGTTAACTGGACTGGACTGCCTCTCGGCATTCCCAAGGGAACATGGTAACCCCTGGAAACCCCAGGGTAAACCCTTGGCATTAGCTTAAGTGTCACTCAGCCCCCGAGGGTACTGCTCAGTCTGGTCAGACACTGAGACCTCTCCGGGGGCAGACTACTGAAAGCAAGGAGGAGGAATACGCCAGGGTCACGATAGGTAGGAGAATCATTCTTTCCTTGAAGAAATCTATGATCAAAAGACATTAAAAACAAAACAAAAATCAATGCAGGCTGGTTTGAACCAAGATTAATGAGCTTTCAGGACACTGGAAACTCTCCAGTTCACCACCAGCCTTTGCATCTCTCCTCCTGACTTTCTAGATGGAAGCCAGGTGCCCACACTTCCTAAGCCTGCAGGGGTTTCTCTTCAGGTAGGCTGACTCTGGCCCAGACTGCAGCAGGCACAACCCCAGAGCCACCCCAGCACAGGCAGGTGGCTGGTGGCCAGTCCTGGTCACTGGCCACAAGGACCACCAGAGGCTAGAAAATAGTAAGTGCATCAAACTTCACATGTAGCAAAAACTACCACTATTTAATGGAGTGAGGCTGCGGTGACTCTAGTCGATTAAAAGCCAAGTCCATGCTTTTATTAACCCTTGATTAATCAGAATTCTTGATTAACTGGAGCCTGGCAGCCTGCTTTGAAAACAAGTTCACATCAAGACACTAAAAAGAAAGGCTTCTGTATATGTTCTAGGAACAGGACAAATTTGACTACAAATCAAATCTCATTTGCCTATAATAACAGCTCAGTGAGAACTGACGGTCAAAATCAGGCCCCTGAAGAATTTAAATTTCAGACTCATTACAGAAAGAAGAGAGATGAAATCACATCAAGGTGGAACAGTACAGTCACAGGTAGGGAATATCTGACAGCGCAGGCTGAAACAAGGGATTTTCTGCTTGCCCCTGTGCTAGCCACAAAGTCCAGGAAACTAAAGTAGATCCATCCCGGGGTCCTCTGGGTGCCACTGGGTCACTGCTTGAGCAGATGATCCACCAGGCCTGCTCATTCTGATGCTGGCCATAACTGCCCTGCTCAGAGCATGCACAGCTCAGTGTTGGGATGTTCAATACCCACGTGTGGTCTGGAAGCTGAAGAAATAGGAGTCTGCTAAACAAAAGTGTCATGCACAAATTGGGGTTCATGCCATGGGTTCTTAGAACCACTGACAGCTCAAATCCATCTTATAACGAGATCCTTCTGGGACTTTAATAGCTAACCTCTCTTGCTTGGATAACAAGCACAAATATGATCTATCTCAAGCCAGATCTCACTTTTTGATAGAAAGCCTCCAATGAGCTTATTTATTCTAGTAGCAGAAACCATGGCAAGGACTCCAAAGGACACGTCCTCTGTGACTGTCGAGTGTTGGTGGCCTCACTGGCTTGGGTACTACTGGGGATTAGGCGAAGAGCAGAGGCAGGATGTTATGTTATTATTGGGCATAATAGACTCCACTGCCTAGGCATGTTGGGAGAATAATGAGCTGTTGCAGAAGGAAAACAGCAATCATTCAATTAATTCACTCAACAACCACTGACTGCCCATCTCCTGGGTGCCCGCGACTGCACCGTCCCAACGTGAGTTCACTCCAACCACAGCTCTGCCCCAGGCTGTGCAGGAGCTGAAGCAGAGACATCAGCTGAAGCTGACAGACAGACGGTCCACTGAGACTGACTACAAATCGGACCCCTGTGCTATTTATTTGCTTTACTTGAGAAGAAAATGGATGTGTACAGAAGGGGGAGACTGTAAAGGAAAATGAGCGAGCACGGGCAGCCCCTTAGAAGCTGCCAGGTATGCCCATGGGTCTTCAGAGGCTACCACCACATGAAAGGTATTGATCTTGAGTTAAAGACATCAGTCTTAAAAACACCCAAATTTACCCTGTTTCCATGCTAGGGTTATTCACCTAAGGAGTATACCACCAAGACAAAGGACTTTTAGACAAACCTGACTGGACAAGAAGCCATGACCTTCCCCAGCCCAACAATGACATGAGATGTGAAGGATGACCAGTCCTACAGCCCCGTGTACATGCTCTTCAGAATGAGGCAGCCTGCCAGACCCCTGGAGGCTGGTCTGGCCCCACACGGTAGACGCCTGCTCTCAGACTCAAAGCATGCTGCGGCCAGTACCCAGGTGCCACCTGCCCTCAGGAAGGCTTGGCATGGCCCAGGGACAGAGACAGGCAAGCTCATGCATGGGTTAGTATCACAGAGGGCAGTACCATCACCACATACAGAGTACCTGGGAATAACCTACTTTGAGGGCTCAAATGCAGATAGGTCTTCTGCCTTGGGCTTGAGGCTAAACCAGCAAAATAAAATGAAGAAAAACAAAAACATACCCTGTGATATCAACAATGCCACGTGTGCCATTTGCAAAACGCTCAGACAGGCCTGAAATTGTGACAAGTGACTTCATTTGTTTGTTTTTATGGCTTGGAAACGGGTCTTTCCAGCTTTCAGCACTCCAGGTGCCTGTGACTGAGGGCCCAGCTCCCTGCAGCAGGGGCAGAGATGAAGCTGCTCTCAGTGCCCACGAGTCAGTGGGGGCCGGGGGGGCGGGGCCGAGGCAGCTCCTCCCAGGGCTGACTGGCTCACTGGCCCCGTCACCATCTTCCTCTCTGCTCACTGGCTGAGGCCTCACTTCAGCTCCCCCTTCGCTAACTGTTTAATAATTCGGTTTTGGAAGGGAAACTCAGTAAAGTACAGAAGCCAGAGCAAAGAAGAATGCGGAATGCGGAAAGATCTTTCCTTCTAGGTTATGCTATTAAAAGGAATTCTCTACCCGGTGCCAAGACAAACTGGAGTCAAGAGAGAGAATTCGGGGCTCCCAACTGTCCCATCAATGATGGCAGGTGGACACCGATCCCTGAGAGTTTTCAGATACAGCTTAACCACTGACAACAGATATTCCTTAAACTGGGAGACCATTTTAAAGACTAAGGTAAAGAGTAAAAATTAAACATACCTAAATGATCATTATTTAAACTCAATGAACCATCTTATCTTAATGACACCGATTTTACAGGTGTTAACCTGATCCGGGGCTATCAGTTTGGAGCAGACATCAACTGGCAACAGAGGACCTTTCTGCTTTGCCCAACATAACAGAAGAATACTCTGGGGCTGATATTTAGTACAGAATTTAACTTCCTCTAAAATGCTGAAACCTCAAAATATAAGTGGAGAGAGATGTGAACTGTTAGCAACATAAATGAAGTCATCTTTTAAAACATTAATGTTCTTCTAGATACTTCCTTTTAAGTATGAAAAAGTTAAAAATTCAGAATTTGGTTTCTAAATCAAGAACAGAATTATATGGTCCTTGCCACTTAAAAACACAAAGAGGCTAGAGGGAGAGTCCATTCTCGACAGCCTCCTTTTCATTTTGCTTTCTCATTAAGTAAGGCAGCTCCCTGGGCATAACTCCCCTTGGCCTAAAAGACAGAACTGCTTTACTGCTAAATGATGGATCAAAACCCGTCCTGTAACAGTGATTCATTTCATCAGAGCTTTTAACACAAGCTCCCCTTCCATCAAGCCAATGGGTTCATAGTCACTGGCAGATTAAATTCCCTTGCTGGCAGGAGTCAAAAAATTTCCTCAACTAAGTACACATAAAAAATGACAATAGTCTAATGATTCGGCTACCGAGGAAACCAGATGCCAACGTCACATTTCATTAATGACTGTCCTGATCAGCAAAAGATAAGAGACTTAGTACCTTTTTAATGGTATTGTGCTTGCTGCTGGTGCCGCCCCGGTCAGAGTTCTCGTTGTGCAGAATATCCAAGGCCGTCTCCCTCTCTTTGAGTTTCAAGGCCTCGATCTCAGTCTTGAGTTCATTGAGCTGCTCCTGCAGGTGCTTGCTCTTCTCCATATACTCCACTCTGTTGGCAAGAGGATACACGGCTTGGGCCAATAGTGAGACATATCAGAACTGAGATGCTCCAGACCCACAAGCTGCTCAGTGTGGGACCCAGGCTCTGAAGCCAGGGGTACGCGTCTTGACTCTGCCGCTCATGGGTCCTGCAGCTTGGGCCAGTCACTTAACTGCTCTGACTAAATCTGTTTCTTCATCCATAAAATAGGGATAATGATCACAGGGCTATGTAGGAAAGCCCTCTGTAAACCCTCATAAAGTGCTCTACAAATACCAGTTGTAACAGACAGCTCGTAGTTCTATACAAAAAACAACACATGAAACAAGCTTCCTGGCATCCAAAACAATCTCCTTGTCTCAATCCTTCTCGAAGAATTACCTCCATTCAAGTGACCTCTTCTGATAGGCCGTGGCCACACCTCTACTTGTTTTGGGACATCATCTCCTAAAGATGACAGAAGCTCACCCTGCCAACACCAGGAAGAAAAAGACCCCCAGTACCACCTGCAAGTAGATACACTGTATCTATGATGGTGAAGAGCTGGAGACCACCCTCAAAGCGTCCAACTACAAGGGCTTGGCCAGGCAAACCATGCAACACAAATGCCAAGGAACATTCTATAGTAATTTCCATGGCTACATGTGTATGGGTCATAAGTAAGAAAATACAAACTATAAAAAAGCAGGACACAGAATAGAGTGTGGCCTCACCCTGATCACAGCCACATAACACTTACTATGCCTGGACAGTGGTAAAAGGCTGGAAGGGGAACTCAGACAGCAGATATGACGGACAGCGACTCTGGCTCACTGGCTACTTATCTATACCCTCAGTATGCGAGCCCAAAGAGACACACAGCTCGACTCATGGTTGCCCACGCTGGGCTCTAAGAAGACACTTCCCCGAGAGGGTTATCCCAGGGTGCTAAACAAGGTGAAAGCACACAGGCTATAGAGTCAGCAAGGCGAGAGGCTGAACCCCCGCTCAGGTCTGTCCCTCATCAGCTGTGGGATGCTGGGTGAGTTCCTTAAATGCTCTAAATCTGGGTTTTCATTTATAAATGGAAACACTAAAACCTACCTTTCATGTCAGTCTGATGTTAGCTGGTGGGAATGAAATGAGACAAAAGCTGAAAAACCCTGGTGCCGAGGCACTCAGTACATGCCAGCTACTGTGATTCTCCTCTGGCAAGCCACAGCACAGCTGGTCGATTTCCCTATGGCTCTGAATTAGGGGACCTCGGTTAAACGTCCTCTGCAGTGGGATGCCTTTTCATCACGGATCCACTTCCAGTGACCACAAAACGAAGGAAGAAGACAGCTCAGCAAAAGCTGCTGTGAACAGGGCGTGCTGGGCTCAGCTCAGTGCTACTACATGCAGCGGGGCTGGCTCAGCTCGGCTGTTGCCCTGGCTGTTTGCTTTCCTCAGCCTCGAGCCTGAGTTTCTTCTCCTCCACCTTCATTCTAGACACAGGAACCACCACAGACCTCAGCCGCCAGAGAACACAACTAGGAAACATGTTCTATTACCAGCTTAGAACATTATCACATGCTCTATTACCATGTGAACAGCAGTCTGGCTGACTCGAGGACCCCTGACAATCAGTCTTATACTTTAGGTGAGGTTTTTGCGCCACTATAAACTCCAGGTCACCAATCAAGCATCATTTTTGTCCTGGAAGATTGAAAGCTGGTCTGTTGTCCTTCATTTCTGATTAGGAAATTCTTCCTCCAGTGGGTGAGAACAGAGCAAACCTTTGCAGGAGCTAGCGACAGGCTGCTGCGGCAACCCTCCACTTTCCCCAGATAAGATAGACTCACTCTAGTTCACCGCCTGCCCAAGCAGGGCACAGGGGAGGATGAAGGAGGCTACGTACTTTTCTTTCTCTATCTCCATGGAAAGCCGCTTCATGTCAGTATCTTTGAAGTCGAAAGACAGGCTGTCACCAATGAGGTTGAAGCTTGGTATGTCAGGAGGCAACGGCGCTGGAAGTGGGTTCATGGGCTATGAACGAGAAATCGATTAGGAGGTTCTGATTCTACAAGAACAGAGGGGCACTGCTGTGTTAGCACTGACCTTCCAACAGACGCAAAGGCAATAGGCATAGTGTGAGCCCTGTCTCCCAGTACCACCATGGGCTCCCGTCACAACTGTCACCCCTGTGTCTCCTCTCTTTAATCTTTCTATACTCGCTGCTGCCAGGTGATCAGCCCCAAAGATCCCAAATCCAGGCAAATCATTCCTCTCCCTTCAAGCCTCTAACTGTTCTTCACGCTCAGCCAAACTAAACACAACACCCACTCACTTCTTCACGAGGAAATACCCGGGCCCCATGCTAGGTAGGAGCTGGAGAGGCAGAGAACAAGACTGGGTCCCTGGCTCTGAGCAGCTGAAAGTCTTTTTCAGTAAACAGATGCATTTGCAGATCATCACAATTAAACAGGTAAACACTGTAGCCAGGGAGTGAACAGAGGCCGAGAAAGCTGGAAAAGGTATGCTAGAAGAGATGCTGCTTCTGGTGACATCCGAGGACATGCCAGAGGAGAAGGCTTGCCAGGCAAGAGGCTGGCACTGGGCAGCGCAGAGGGTGCTCGGCGAGAATGCCGAGTGCCTGCAGTGTCAGTGTGGAGAGGCAGGTGGGAGACTGGACTGGACCATAAAGAGCTCCCCTGAATGCTGAGGGGCTTGGATTCAGAAGATCAAGCCAGAGTGTGGCCTGAAGCAGAGGGTGAAGCAATTAGATTTGTTTTGAGGACTTTCTCATCCCAGAACAAAGTCATCTAAAATATGGCCCCAAACTACTCCTCCAGCTTCTTCCTCCATTTGCCCCACAAAATCGTCAATGTATCATTTGTTACCCCTTGGATCACTCTGCTGTCCCATCTCTGTCCCTTTGCTTAAACCATGCCTCCTCCCTATCCTCCATCTCTCTTCCAAGGTGCTTCTCAAATACTACGATTCCGCACCAAAACCTTTCTGGATCCGTCTTGGCCAGACGGCAACTCTTTTCTTTGCTGTGCATTAACACTGTGTTTCCGGTTCTGCAATGGCACTTCTCTAATGCCACCCCGTAAAAGAATCCTTTTTGGCTGTGTCTTCATCTTTCTACTGTTAGCAAGTTTCCTGAGGGCAGGATCTGCTTCTATTTCATCCTTGGATCCTTTACTGAGTCTAGGACAGTGTCTGGGAAAGAGCAGAGGCTCAGAGCATGCACTTGAGACAATAACAAGCCTGAGGCAGACTGCCTGTGTGGGTATCAAAGGTGGTGCTGAGAGGGGGCTTCTGGGGTACTACAACATTCTGTTTTCTGATCTGAGTGCTGGGTACATGGGTGTGTTAAGTCTGTGAAAATTCATCACGCTGTATAGTTACAATTTGGACACTTCTCTGTATGTATGTTATACATCATAAAAATGTCCGGAAAGGTGAGTGCCAGGTGCTGCACTACCTGAGAGCAGGCACTGGTATGACCTCTGTGGAGACCATCAGAATGGAAAATCTGACCACACAGCTCTATCTGTGAGAATTTACTCTACTATATCCACATGGACATGCAAAGATTTGTGTTCAGAGATGTTCAGAGCCGTTTTGTTCATAACTGCAAAAGAAAACAGACTAAACACCCATCCACAGGGGACTGGTTAGATGAATTATGATCCACCCATACAACGGAATATGATTAAAAAGCTGATATGGATGATCTCCTCCAGGATTGATTTATTGTTAGAACAATGTATAAAGTTTGCTGCAATGTATGTTTTCAAAACACACACATCTTGGGTGTCCAGCCCAAATGAGCCCTCGGATGATTCCAGTCCAGCTGCCATCTGCCTGCAACAGCCTCAAAGATCCTGAGGAAGGACCATCAGCCCAATCAACCCACCAAGCCATGAGAGAGAATAACAAATGGTTGTTTTGAGCTGCCTGGCTGGCTTGGGGTGGCTTGTCACACGGTAATAGATAACCAGAACAGATGACAATAGCAAACTGCTCACATTTCCCTCCATCTCAAACCCTGAGCTTATGCCTCTGTGCCCTGGGTGCCTCTTTACTGTGTGCATGTCTGTGTTGTGTGTGTGAACGTGCCGTGCGTGCATTTGTGCTGAGTGCACATTGGTGCACTTGCCTAGAATACCCTATACCCTATCATCGCTTTCCCACCTGGCTAGTTCCTAGTCTCCCTTCAAGAGTCAGCTCAGGCACCATCCTGAGCCTCTCCTGCCCCTCAAGGCTGAGCTAAGGTCTCCTCTAGGCATCTGTACACCTGTCGATACAAAGGCTCTGCATCTGCCTGGTATTATATAGAACAGAACAGGTATGCAAAAATGTCTGCTGAACTGAACGCACAGAGGAAAGGAAGAGAAGAGGCTTCTCTATTCATTTTGTGACCCTATTTATTTATTTTTATTTATTTATTTTTTTGTGTGAGGAAGATCAGCCCTGAGCTAACATCCATGCTAATCCTCCTCTTTTTGCTGAGGAAGATGGGCTCTGAGCTAACATCTATTGCCAATCCTCCTCCTTTTTTCCCCAAAGCCCCAGTAGATAGTTGTATGTCATAGCTGCACATCCTGCTAGTTGCTGTATGTGGGATGTGGCCTCAGCGTGGCGGGAGAAGCGGTGCGTCGGTGCGCGCCCGGGGTCCGAACCCGGGCCGCCAGCAGCAGAGCGCGCGCACTTAACCGCTAAGCCACGGGGCCGGCCCCTGTGACCCTATTTAATCGAAGTTGGCCTCCTTGTCCCAAAATTGAGGTTGGAAGCTGGTTCATGCACGGCAGTAGTTCACTCTGAGTACACAGGCTGTCCCTGCCCAGAACTACAATGATGGCATATGGTATATACCAGTAGTTGAAGATTACATTCAGCTTGGCCTTGAGACGCTAGAGAGCAAATTCTCTTGAGGATAACTTGGGACTCTATTACTTACTTAGAATAACAAAAACATTTCAGAGCTGGAAAAGGCCCTGTTGCCTGTTCCCTCTGAAATCAGAGAGGTGACTAACTAGCCCAAGGCCAAATGGCAGACCAGGTGTTCTACCCAGTCCCTAACTGCAGGCTCTCTGCATCACTCATTGCACCATGTGTCTGCTTGAAGAGTCACCCTGAAGGCACCGCCAGGTGAACCGAAGGGCTGGGAGGAAAGGGAAGGTTATCAGGTCTTGAGCAGCTGCAGGCTGGTGGCCCCTACCCAGGCTCACCGGGTATGTGGGCTTGGTGGTGATTTCCAGGAGCTTTTGCTTGGCTCTTCGCTCGGCCTCGCGGGCTTCCTGCAGGTCCTGCTTCAGCTGATCTGCCTCCTTGGCCCTGCAAGGAAAGGAGTAGCTGTCAGCTCCACTGAAGATGACAGGTGGAAGAAAGAGACCCCTCTTCTCCCTTACGTACCTAGAGAGGAGGGACCCGGGTTAACCCTGAGGATGGCACCAGACCAAGCAAACAAGGATGGTGGAGGGCAAGGGGGACATTTACATGAAATCAGAACTTCCAAGCAAGGACAACATTCCCAGGTATTGTTCATTTAAACAGAGCCAAATGCTGTGGGGAATGTGCCAGTGTTTATCTGAAGGCCGCAGGACCAGAACAATCCAGAGCCTAGAGTAGTCTTTAAAAAGTACAGACTACAGGTCCATCCTTCAACCTGGTCGTGAGCTGGGGCCTCCTGGCCATAGAGAGAATCCTAGCCCTCCCCTCCCATCTGCCTCAGGAGCCTCAGCACCAAGGAAGGGCTGCAGGGAAGAGGGTGCCTAGTTTCTACTTTAAAGGTAAATAGCTGCTGTCTTCCCACAGGGCCCCTAAACAAAAAGGGAAAAGAACCACATATTTTAAATGTAAGAAGAGCCTTCTTACATCTCCTCAGCTAAAAGCAGCCTGTGGACATGCTTGAAGGTTTTCCTACAAACACAGCCATCAGAGGGACAGGGGCTTATCACAAAGGCACACGCGTGACCAGAGGTCCACTCGACAAGAGAACTGTGTTCCTGTGTCCTTCTGCAGGCTCCAGCCGCCAAACCAGATTAAGCACCAGTCCCCACCAACCTGTCAAAGGAGCCTCTCCCTTGCCCCAGAAGATGGAGAAGCAGCCTGAGGACAGCTGCAGTCAAGCTCTGCCTCAGGGCAGGGTTAGGACCAAGCGGCCCCTTGCCCTGGCCCCAGTGCCCAGGACCCCTACCTTCCCCCCATTTCTGACCTCCTCTCTGACTCCTCGGCCATCTTCAGTGCCAGCACCTCGGCCTCTAGCACCTTCTGCTCCATCAGGCGCTTCTCTTCCTCCGTGCGAATGGCTGTGGCCTTGATGCGCTGCATTTCCTGTTCGGCCTCTGCGGCCTTCTGTGCCAGGAGTTTTGCCTCCTCCTCAGTGATTTGGGCTTTTTCTGCCAACAGGTCAGCCGTCTCCTCAGACCGCATCTGGGGAGAAGAGTGCTGTCAGCTGGAACGGGGATCACGTGCCTGTTACCCCGCCCAGATCTGGCCTCAGACACTCAGGTCAGCAAGAAACAGAGTCTTGGGCTCCTTGGGGGCCCTGCCACTGAGTGTCCCCTCAGATGACACTCTGGCAACAGATGACAAGCCACACCCCTCAACTTTTCAGAAGGGCCCTTCAGGTTCCATTCATGGGAAGCAACAAGAAAGCACCTTTTTTACATACCCACCTGAGCTGAGGCTTATGCTTTATGAGGGAGAAAACCAACTTAACCGTTCTTCTTTCCCTTTAAATCAGCAGTTCAAAACCAGAGGAGAGTTTGCCCCCTGGGGGACATAGAACAATGTCTGGAGACCTTTTTTATTGTCACAAACTGGGGGGTGAGGTGGTGCTACTGGTGTCTAGTGGGCAGAGGCCAGGGACACTGCTAAACATCCTTCAATGCACAGGACAGCTCCTCCCACAAAGGATGATCTGACCCCGGTGTCTGTCGTGCCGAGGTTGAGGAGCCCTGCTTTAGAGGCAGCCACGGTGAAAGTGGATTCTGGCTGCACAAGAACTCAACCCAAATCTGCTTCTGCCAACACAGGGGGAAGAAAAGGCACTGATTTTTTTTTAAGCCGATATAAAGTGTCAAAGCAAATGTTGCTAATTCGTGGTCCTCAGGAGGCCTAACTCCAGAAAACTGAGGAAGTCCCCGTGTAGCCTCCTGAGACGCAGACCCCTCAAAAATCACCAGTGCTTCGTTGGCCATTGTTGCTTCTTCCTTCATCTGCAGCAGCCTCCTCTCCAACTCGTCCCTTGTGCGTTCAGCCTCCTCCCTCATCTGCTTCTCTCGAGCGAGGCGCTGCCGCTCCATCTGCGGGGGAACGAGAGCAGTCAGTCCCAGGGCTCAGGGCCTCTGGTGCCACAGGGATCCAAGAACGCTCCCCTTTGGAGACCCTTGTTTCTCTTTACTTTAAGTAGCCAGTGTCATTCTTGTCGCCACCACCCTCTGTCCTAAACCAGCTGTAGAGTTGAAAGCTGTGCTCCCTGAAAAAACAGCTAGTGGTGAATGAACAAACAACAAAAAACCAAGCCCAGTCTCTACTGGATTGAAGGAGGCATTCTCACACACTGTGCTGAAACGGCTACCTTGCCAATACGCCTTTTTGTTGGGAGACCTCACGTGACTCTGCCCTGTGGCTGACAGGACACAATGCAGGTTCCTTCTCCCTGAGATGGAGCCCCAGAAACACAGAGCTTTCTCATCTGGGTGGATGAGCCACCTTGCCATTTCTAATCCACATGGACCCCTCCCACATCTCTCATTTCATCAACAATAGCTCCCTTCTTGCCTCTGACCCACAGAGAAGATGGAATCATTCTGTGTGACGCATCAGTAGTTCACACATTGTGTTTTGCAGGGGGAAGCTGCAGCAGCCACAGCACAGACTCTCACAGCCTCACACGGAGGCAACTCCTGAGCCAGGCCTGCAACAAGAGGGAGCCAGGCAGGGAACACAGCCCACCGTCCTTAAGGCACCAGTAGAAAGCAGCCACCACCTCTCTTGCCTTCTGGATCACTGTATTAATTGGACCACATGCTGAGCTTAATAAGGGACACAAGCACAGGACAAGTGCTATTCTCTGTGATCCGAGGGTACTAACTGAGTTCAGAAAGCAGAAGCCAGAAGTGTCCACTGCACTACTTTCTTCCTTAAATAATTAAAGCACATTTAATTACTTATTTCTTGCTTCAATCTTCTCCCAAACAAAAGGTTTCTATGACTGTTGCTTTTTCTAAATACTAAGCCAAAAACAAATGCATTGAGACTCGAAGGAATAATGCAAAGAGAAGCAATAAAATAGCGTAAATTCTTCTTCAATTTTCCTCTTGCAGGTCAATGAAAAGCTTAGCCAATTTGTTCTCTAATTTCCATCATATTAAGATTTCCATTAGGTGGATTACTATAGCTCCATTATTCTCTGCTTGAAAAAAGTGCAGGCAATTCCCTTCTGTTCCCAGCATTGCACTTTCCCTGAGACCTCCACCCCAAGTAAAACGGACCTCCCGTCTGCCAAGTGGTTTAAGCTTACAGAGACTTTCGGGTACAACGTGTCCTTTGATCTGAGACAGAGAAGAGGTATGATTAGCTCCACTTGACAGATGAAAAAACTGAGCTCTGGAAGGTAAGCCATTCACTAACGTCACATACCAAGTGTGGCATCTGGCTCTAAGATCAGGGTCTGCACCACAGGCCCAACAGAGCCCCTGACCTGCGGTCTGCAGATGCTCGGGATGGCCTCTGCTGTTCTACAGGCAGTGCAGTTCTGGGCTGTGCTCATGCTACTGTCTGCCACAGCCCAAAGGCCTACACGCTCCTTGCTGTTTTCGGATCTCTCACTTCTAAGCTTTGCTCTCCTGAAAAGAAGTCAAAGAGGGCTCTTCTTTTAAGTTGCCATTATGACCCCATGCTGGCTCAGGACCATTTCTCTGTCCAACATAATCCGTTCCATCACCCCCAAATCATCCAAAGAGCACATCTATGGCCCACCGTCTCGGAAAGCAAAGAGATGGAGAGCTGAAAGCATACTGGATCAAACTGCACGTTTCATTCTAAGTCTCGGAGTACCCAAATCAGAGAGCTGCACACAGTCTAATTATTACACCTCTGGGCCTGCGAGTCCTGAGGGCAGCAGACTGCAGTTGCTGCCATTCTCTCTAGTGGTTCATCCAAAACCACAACTGATATTCTCAGCAGCGAGGCTCAGATTAGTTGTGTGGATTTCGGTGAGTCGAAAAGGTCTGTGAGTAGAAAACAATGATGCAGACCGTCTAGTCTGCTGATACGCGCTCCCCGCCCCTCCCGCTGCGGGCGACGTGTGGCTTGGGCTGACCTGCAGCAGGAAGTGCGGCCGGAGTCTAATTAGCATTCCAGCAGCGAGCACTGAAATGCCGCCATGCATTCCATCACCATCTAATTAGAAAAGGAGAAGGCCGGGCAAAGGAGACGGGAAGGCAAAAAGAGAGAAAGCCAGCTAGATGGACGAGAGGTGGATGGATGGATGGATGGATACACGCATGCTTGGCTATCTCTTCCCAAACCTGCATTCATCACACTTGACTTACTTCACTTAAGTGGAGAAATAACTAGACATGCTGCTTTTAGATATGGCCTTAGAGTTTACTCCTCATTTCCAGAGCTGACACCTCGCCAGCTGGGCATCAGCCAATAAAGACGCAACAGGGATAAAATAAGAGCAGGCATATCCATGGCCAAATGACTCCTGTCAGCCCATGACCACTCCCTACCTCCCCTCCCAGGCCAAAGCCCACAGACTGCTAACAACAGAAGTTCCAACACATCTTGCTCACCTGCTTTCTAGCCTTCTCCTCCCTGGCCTGGGCTTTCATCTGCTGAACTTCCAAAGAATCAGCCTTCCTTCTCCTCATAAAAAGGTCATGGTTCCCGATACATAGCTGGAGAATCTGTGGTCACAGAGGCAAGAGGTGTTAAGCTCACAAATTTACTTCACTGCCTATCAGCTGACCAGCACTACAGCATTTTGGTCTGAGGGCTCTTGTGGGCAACAGGAAATCTGAAGAGGAAAGCATGGAGGGAAACCCCAAAGCCCCGCCAATGGCCTCGAGTGCTCTCGGCTCTGGAGACAGGCAAAATGAGGGAGTCTCTGATGTGCCAAGCAGCAAAAAACACAAGCGAAGAGAGAAATTGATGAAACTTCAGCATGTCTTCCAGATGCACCTCCCTCTCCTAAGTCAGGAGGTGGCTCTGCAGAGCAGGGAGGAGAGGAAAGTTCATTCAATAGGTTGGGCTGGGTCAAGAGGTTATTCATGTGGAAAAAATAAAGCATATCCCTCCCTTATACCATATGCACAAATCAATTCCAGAAGGATGAAAGACTTAAATGTGAAGATCAAGCCCTTGAAACTTTTAGAAGAGAATATAGAATATCTTTATGATATAGGATAAGGAAAGATGGCAAGACACAAAAACCACCAATGATTAAGGAAAAGATATATACATTTGTCAACATTGAAATTAAAAATTTTTTGTTTGTCAAAACATTATAAAAAAGAGGAAAAATAAGCCACAAACTGGGAGAAGATATCACCAATACAGAAAACAACCAACCCAAGAGAAAAATAGCTAAAAGACATAAAATAAGTATTTGACAGAAGAGACAACAAGACTTGCCAATAAACATACAAAAAGGTGTTCAACCTCATTAGTAAATATAAAGATGCAAATTTAATATGACACTGAGATACCACTTTATATGCACAAGATTGGCAAAAAATTTAAAAAGCTGATAATACAATTGTGGAGGATATAAAGCAAAAGGAAGTCTCACTCCCCTACTGTTGGATCTGTAAATTAATTCACTTTCTTTGGAAAATGATGTGGCATCATCCTGAATTTGGACATATACTATAGCCCTGCACTTGCAGGGCTGTGTGTATATATTCTCTAAACTCTAGAGAAACTATTGCCCATGAACCAGGAGGCAGATACGAGAATGTTCGTAACAGCCTTTTTAAAATGGCACAAAATGGGCCGGCCCCGTGGCTTAGCGGGTAAGTGCGCACGCTCCACTGCAGGCAGCCCGGGTTCGATCCCGGGCGCGCACCGACGCACTGCTTCTCCTGCCATGCTGAGGCCGCGTCCCACATACAGCAACTAGAAGGATGTGCAGCTATGACCTACAACTATCTGCTGGGGCTTTGGGGGGAAATAAATAAATAAAATTAAAAATAAAATAAAATAAAATGGCACAGAAGTGGAAAGCACTTATGTCCATTAATAGGAGAATGAAAAAATACACACACACACATATATATCCATACAATGGAATACTATACAGCAGTGAAAATGAAGGGATCATATCTTTAAGAATCAACATAGATCTCAAAAAATAATGTGTGAAAAAGGCAAGTAATGAAAGAATACAGTTGACAGCACTTATACATAAATTTCAAAAACATACAAAACTTTATAGCATATTTTTTTTGCCATATATGAAATCAAGTTCTGATGAAAAGCAAGAGGATAATAAATATGCAGCATAGAATAATGATCCCCCTCAGGGAGGTGTGAGGGGAGAGAGCAGGGTGCCTACATGAGGGGTTTCAACAGTATTGGAAGCGTGCTATTTCTTAAAGCTGGGTAGTGGGCACATAGCTATTTATTTTTGTCATTCTTTATACCTTATACATAATCATACTTATCCTTTTATATATATGAAGTACTCCAATAAAAACAATTTTTAACAATTCCTCATCACAAAATTTAGGTTTGACTCTTTAGGTTAAGTCAAGAGAAGAGTCTTTCAAGGCCTATTGGAAAAGTGCGTACCAAGTGAGCTGTCATCTCACAAGATGTCATTCTCATACTCTTTCAGAAAGGGCATTCAACTTCTCAAAAGAAGTACAGTTATCAGTAATAAAAATCAGGGTCTCAACTTACCAGCTTATTAACACGAAGCTTTGAGGAATTAAATTTGAAGACATCAATTTTCTTATCCAATGGTTTAATAGTAAACTGAAAGAAGGAAGCAGAACAGTTTCAGTCTGACAGCCTAGAACGTTACCACCAACTGGGAGATTCCACAAAAGCAGCAACCACGCTGGCAGAGATCCAGCACAAGGCACAGTCTTGTCCTGCCTTCCTGGTGCCCAGGCACTAAACCATGGTGAATTATAAGTGTCTGTGTGTGCCACGTCTGGGGCTGTGGAAGTTCAGGATCCTGGAAGGTGTACTCTCAGCACCACCTTAGGCTTGGAAACCTGAAACAAGAACCCTTGACAGGCCCAACCTTGATGCCAACATTGTAGTGTCTAAGGCACAGCCCTGCCTTCAGGAAGCTCACAACCCAGCTGGAACTAGACTAACAACAGTCAATCACTCAAGAATTATATCATATAGTAGCACTCCATTGGTGGCACAAATCACTCATGTCCTGGGTGTTCAAAGCAGGTCTTGTAGTAGGAGGGGACTTCAGCTGGTATTAGACAAAGAATATGACAGAGAAGCTAAAAGGTAGGATGGAGGGGCATTCTGGACAGGGAGAGAAATAGAAATAAGGCAGAGACGGGGAAATGAGCACTGAGTGTCTGTGTGCGGGTTTGTTTAGCTCTTTGATGACTAAGACGATATCATGAGTTTAGACTTGGAGGAAGGCAAGGGTGGCTGGGGGTGGACAGTCAGAAGGGTTTAGATTTGATGTGACAGCATACAGGGAGTCATCACTCCAGATTTCTGAACATGGGGATTATTTGATGAAAGCTGTTAATAGAAGGAAGAAAGTAAAGTGTAAAGAAGAACAAACTAGAGCAGAAGAGGAAAACATAGTTCCTGAAATCAAAGGGAAGAGAAAGCGAATGGTAAGGATGGGGTGGTAGCTTAGTAGGAGAACCAGGGCCAGACCACTAGGCAGGGAAGCATATTAAGAACAAATGGCAACTGATGTTCCCAACCATTCCTGAGGAGACCAGCAGATCCTAGACTGCAAAGATGCACTTTAAGAAGGGATATCCAGGGCTGGCCCAGTGGTGCAGTGGTTAAGTTCGCACATTCCGCTCTGGAGGCCCAGGGTTCGCCGGTTCGGATCCTGGGCACAGACCTACGCAACACTCATCAAGCCGTGCTGAGGCGGCGTCCCACACAGAAGAGCTACAACTCTACAACTATGATACACAACTATGTACTGGGGCTTTGGGGAGAAAAAATAAATAAATAAATAATGATTACAAAATAAAAAGGGATATCCATTCCCAAGAAAGACCTGCTAAGCAGATAAATGTTTGGGAAGTTATATTCTTGGATATTTCTTTCACATGTTATATTGCCCAACAAGGAGTTAGCACACCAAGGACAGAAAATGATCCTTTGTTTAGCTTTTGGTCAAGTTAACTTAGAAGCAGTACTGTTCTTGTGTAGGCCGCTATTTGTGAATTTCGTGATCTTATTTTTGGCCTTGCTGTCAAACCCCAGAGCTGTCAGTGGGAAACCACAAGTAGTGGGGAAACCACAGGCTCTGCGCCATGCCAGGGCACACACACAAAGAATCAATGGATCACTTAAAATAAACCAACATTTCTGTTTTGACAGCACGGCTGTCATGCATAACTACCAAGACAACTTCCTATTATGTCAAGTCAGCTTGGGGCCCTCTTACAGCGTGAGTTATTGACATGATGCAACATGATGGCGCCTTGCCACAGGAGAGGGTATATGAGAGTTTATTGTGTCTAGGGGAGACTTTAATCCTTGGGTTCTGTGAATAACGAGTGTTTTGGGAACCTTTAGCACACAAATATGTGGATGTGCAGTAAACAGACTTTATGAAATTAGGGATGAAAAACTGCTGTACCGTGGCACACCTACTGCTTTAAGTCATGTGGAGCTTTCAATGGAAGTATTTTTTTTTATTTAATTTAATTTAATTTTATTTTTTCCCCCCAAAGCCCCAGTAGATAGTTCTATGTCATAGCTGCACATCCTTCCAGTTGCTGCATGTGGGATGTGGCCTCAGGATGGCCGGACAAGCGGTGCGTTGGTGCGCGCCCAGGATCCAAACCCGGGCCGCCAGCAGCGGTGCGCGCGCACTTAACAGCCAAGCCACCGGGTCGGCCCTCAACCGAAGTACTTTAAAAAAGAAATACCTAATCCTCATCTCCTGGGCTCCTTACAAAAATTTGAAAGCCAGAATGTTTTGAATTAAGAAACTCAATCTGTCTCATCAAGCATGGCAGAGTAGATCTCAACCACGTGTTGGAAACCAGGGGCCTGGTGTTCCTTTCCTTGAGTTGCTACGAGGAAAGAGAAAACAGGAAATCTGCTCAGGGGTGGGGGCTCTGCAGACAACAACATGAGCTGTCCCTGCCACTCCACACTCGGCGTCCCGGCTGTGCAGGCACCAGCGCATCGCTGAGGACCGTCCAGGCCTGCTCTCTCTCCCCGGTACCCTGTGCTCTCAGGGCTCATCCTCTGCGCCCCTCAGAAAAGCAGGAATGTGGCTTCAGGGAACCTGGAGCTCAGCCCCTGCTATTCCCCTCACTGATCACAGGTCACTTGATCCCTCTGCATCTCCGTCTTCTGATGTGACACAGAGACAACCAAAACAGGGCCCCTCCTCTTACAGCAGTGTTTTTGTGAAGACCGAATCATAAGCGGTGAAAGTGCTTGTAAGTGGAAAAGCACTATATCACCATCCTCCTCACCATCAGTCCCTTCCACTGCAGTTATGCATTACAGCAGCTGAAGTGTTACCTGACTCCAACTTCCTTGAGGGCTGAGACTGGATTTTCTAAATCTTTATTTCCCCTACGAAACCTAACACAAAGCAGATGCTCAACAATTCCTTTACAATTAACAAAGAATGAATGAATGAATGAATGAATGAATGAATACAGGGTTACAGCATTTGGGAAAGGTCACCATCCTGTATAGAAATATCTGAATTCTAGTACAGTGTTCACCCTAAATTATTCAAACTTTATTCTCAAATTCTTGTAAGCAGGTTAGCCTGATACCCTTATATCATTGCTGAGACACACACACACACACATATATATGGATATATATATATATATATATCCCCATCACACGTATCAAGCACTGGACAGAGGGAGAGGGTTTAACATATACCACACTTAAAATACAAAGAAAATTTCTCAACAGAAATAGAAAGCCAAGCAATAAGAAAATGTTACTTTCTGGTTTGTTTACACTTCCTTGGGGTTTAGTACTGACAAGTTGAACTTCCCAGCCTCTTGTTAGTCAGCAGGGGGGTTTAGTGAGGCTATTTGAAAATAGGATGCCCATACTGTTCTGTAAATACTATAAAAACCAACAACCAAAAAATCCAAAGCCTGAGAATTAAAGGATTTCATTGATAACAAGGAGAAGTCTGGCTGGGGATTGCTCCAGCAAGGAGAGATGGGGAAAGTCCTTCTGCTGGACCACTGGTGCATCTGCAGTACAGACATGTCCTACCTCCTTGTCACTGTATGAGATGTTTCGGATTTCATTCCACGGGAAGGAGATCTTGGGGGTCAGCCTGTTCTCAGGGTCATAGATGTGAAGCCCCAGAGCATCCACTCCAAGCAGCAGTTCTGTGCCCTTTTTATTCTGTAGATCCGATAAAGAACAGCCTCTGTCAGCTCCAGCTGAGGTTTGGGATTTGATCCAGCTTCCCAAAGAACCTGGCACGCACCGTTACATATGACAAGTTTCAACAGGTCCCAACAGAAGTCACAGCTGTCTTGTAACCCAGGGGGCCTCCAGCTTCCTGAAGTGGGGCAGGCAGGGGCACAACCGTACTATTCTTGCGACTCATGTGTCCCGTAGAGGGATCCCTGAAGGCTTCTGTCACTGGCTTGATGGCTAATGCAGCAGCAATCTAGGCACTGTTATCTCTAATTAAGTAACCAGGTTTTCATGGATGTAGAATAAAAACCCGTAGGATTAAACGTTTCTTATGTTAAAAGCAAAGGCTGTTGGACTGCCAGAAAGAAACCTCTAAGTGCTGGGATCAGGTGGTCTTATTTTATGTTAAAATGTAGTCTCAATGTGATAAAGCAAGTATAGTAAAATGTTAACTGTAGAATCTAGGCAGTGGGTATATATGGGTATTCGCTGTAAAATTCTTTCAATCTTCCTGTATGTTTGAAACTTTTTATAATAAATTAAGAAAAAAAAATCAAAATAAATTGTATATAAATTATACCTCAATAGAGCTGTTTAAGAATTTAACCAATTAACCGTACGTGTGCTGTGGTTCTGACAGCGGTCCTGGTCAGCAGTCAAAGCAGCAAGAGGACAGAGCGCCAGGGGCCCCATGTCACTGACCCAGCTGTGGACCTGGAGGCCACATCCTTGCGCTGCAGGCCCATCCGCCTGCACTGGGGTCTGGCCCTTGTATGACAGTGGGAGGAAGCTCCCCGCACGAGGACCTGCAGCATCTGACCCCGTGTTGACAACAAGGAAATTGAACCAAGACTCAAGGGCAGGAAAACAGATCTGCAAACGGAGACGGTGGTCGGACTGTGATGAGAAGTACCAATCTAACAGCAGGCGTCAGATGGAGAAGTGAGCGCTCTGAGATAAATCTTTTTATTCCTTCTAACACTCCGAAGTCAGGTGCTATTATCAAACCATGAGAGAGATTCCTCTGTTCATCTGCAAAGCTCTTAATACTACCGCATTAACACAAATGAGGCTTTGTACTTTTAAAACCTATAGTACATTTTGGAAAACGAGATATTTCATTACGTTTCTGACTATCTAGTTTAAATTTTAAAAAGAAGTATGACCCAAGTGATTTCCCTTCATCCTCCTTTGAGGATGTTATTGTCTTCCTATCCCTGTCCTTGTCAACTACACGTGCTGCCACCTCTAACCCACCATCATTGGGACACAAGGATCCCAGGTTTTTTTCATTCTAAGACTTGACATTTTTTTAATCTCATTTTTTTATTAGGCATTTGGTCACCCAATCGCCATCTAGTTTTCACAGCTGCCTTCACGCCTCATATCGAACAAAATCATGCATTACTTAACCACTATATACGTCCACACCAGATTCTATCTTCACCCCAAATTCTCCTGCTCATAAATAAATAATGTAGAAACATCACATTCCCATCACAAATTTCAACATTTCCAGTTAAAAAAAAAGGTAGGGGGGTCCACACTCTGCCTCCTATCATTATGACTCCAACACTTCTAGAGAATAAACAGAGAGAGGTGGGGACTCAAGCAGCCCCTTCCAAACTGTTTTAAGCACATATCTTCCTTAGTTAATGGTGATATTTCAGGAACTTTAACACAAAGACACTAAAATATTCATTGTGCAATATAAGAAACACACACACAAAATAGTAGATTTTAGTCTGACTACTCTAGAAATATTTCCTAATAAACTGTCTTTCGAGGATTGTAGAACACTACTTTTCTAGAATCTAGGAGGTGGCATGTGGGGCAAGAACAGTTGTGTTCACAAAACCACAGAAATGTGTTAAATGTCTGACCTTAAAGAAACCAAACAATTAGCAAATACAAATTAATAAAACTTTAGAAAATAACCATCTGCATTATTATAGAAAATCTTCTAGGCACTTGTTTACTACAGGACATAACATAACTTGTCAGTGTGCCTTATTTTATGCAAAGTAATCCATTAAAAAATCTGTATTTAGAAAACAAATAAATATAAAGCTATCCTAGAATATTTAAAATGTTTCAATTTACCCAAATTCAATACAAAATTTATAGGAACCCCCAAAAGGAAAGAAAATCATAATTATGATAATAAAGGTGGACCACTGTGGATGGTTCTTTTAACATCTACTTATCCACAGTCTGGAACCAGCAATGAAATACGTTAATCATGTGAATTCCTTTGGAAGGAGCTACCCCTGCACTACATCCAGCAGCAGACCCTTGGGTGAAAGACGCTGGAAAGGCCAGACCAAAATAAGCGCCTGTCTGGTGCAGAAGCAGCCGGTTCCCAGAGGACAGTGGACTATTAATGGTCTGAATAGAAAAGCAATTAGCCTGCTATCGAGAACAAGAGTCCCCACCCAAACAAATCAGTAATCTATAAAAGCAGTTTTACTCTCCTTGTGCCCTGGGGCAAGAAAGTATTTACAGGTGCTCCCTGTGGGCTGAGATCTCAGAGAGCCAGAAATAATCAAACATTACTCTCAGAGCATTCAAACAGGTCTCTGCTGAGCACAGGACCAGACCCAAGTCCCCCGAGGCTCAACTGATACACAATTACCTAGGATCTAATTGAAGTCCAAAAATAGAAAATGAGGCTATAAGACCCTCTCCCCTTTCTCTTCTCTTCTTTACCACTGAACTGTTAAAGAGCCTACCACCCCGGAATGAAGAAGTAACCCATTTTAGTATTCTGCTCCTGATTCAGGCTGTTGATACACAGGGAACTTGGAGAGGGTTTAACATACCCGGATTGCAAAGTAGTTCACACCGTACATCTCCAGGTCTTGAGCTATCTTCAAATATTCCATTTCAGCTTCATCCCTGTGAGAAGAATGAAAGACACTGTCACTGGAGCGCAGGCACAGGCCAAGCTGAACGTTCGAACCTGCCAGAAGACGCAAGCCAGAGTAGATACCAGCAAAGCTCTTCCCAACCCCGAGTCTATTAAACACACCGAGGTCAAGCAGAATTTCCCATCCCCATAAAAAACAAGAGAACAGATTCATTACAGTGTCTCTTAGCTTCAATTTCATGCTTTGTCCTTGGTAAATGGTGACACCCGTCTCAAGTAATTCAAGAAAAGCAAGTGGTATGTCATCTTTTCTCAAATGGATTTTGATGTTCAAATTTTATTTAAGTTGTCGCTTTATAAACGTGTACTTCCTTCACCTAGAAGGTTTTGGTAACGAAACAACTCTCTCTGCAAGCTATCGGAGAGCTAGCTGCCTGATGTTATTTCTTCAGGTGTTGCTGGAGGTTAGGGCAAGAGCTATCTGGGCTGTAAAACCAAAGCCAGGTCACCTACTTCTAAGTTATGAGTCAAATTTAAAGTAAGCTCTTGAAGCAGCAATGACTTGCAGAAAACTCCTGAATAGGTATAGTATGGAAATATTTTAACTCAAGTTTCCCTATGACCTTGCCTTCTTCCCTCTCTTGGATCTCAAAATGCTCTCAAATGGATCTAAAAAATTTAACCTGAAAGAATGCCAAGTGCTGGCAAGCGGGTGGAGCAACTGGAAATCATACACAAGCTGTTATAAATTGGTACAATTACTCTGGAAAATTGTTTGACATTTTTTGTTGTTGTTTTTTTTTTTGGTGACGAAGATCGGCCCTGAGCTAACATCTGCCAATCCTCCTCTTTTTGCTGAGGAAGACCAGCCCTGGGCTAACATCCATGCCCATCTTCCTCTACTTCATATGGGATGCCGCCACAGCATGGCTTCACAAGCAGTGCGTCAGTGTGCGCCCAGGATCCGACCAGGCGATCCCCGGGCCGCTGCAGCAGAGCGTGCGCCACCGGGCCGGCCCCTGCTTGACATTATTTTTAAGAGTAAAAACCACGAGATGACCCGACAATCAAAATGTCCATCAATAGTAGAATACATAAATAATCTGTGGTTATTAATATGGTGGAATTCTCCATAGCAATGAAAATGGAAAAACTACCACTACACACCACAAACCCAAATCTCACAATATGATGCTGAGTAAAGGAAGTGAGACACAAAATACAGAAACTGTCTCATTGCTTTTATATAAAGTTTAAGACAGGCAACGCTAATCTATGGAGTTAGAAATCAGGAGAGTGGTTACCTTTGGGGAGCAAGAAGGGGGAGTGTGGGGGTCATGCGGTGTTTTGTCACCTGGTGTTACATGGTGCTTTCACTTTGTGATAATTTATCCAGCAGTATACTTATAACTTGTCCATTTTTCGGTATATATGTTATACTTTTTTAAAAATTGAAAAAAAAAGCATGTGACGAAGTTGATTTTTTTTTTTTTTTTGTGAGGAAGATCAGCCCTGTGCTAACATCTGCCAATCCTCCTCTTATTTTTGCTGAGGAAGACTGGCCGTGGGCTAACATCAATGCCCATCTTCCTCCACTTTATATGGGACACCACCACGGCATGGCTTGCCAAGCGGTGCGTTGGTGTGTGCCCGGGATCCGAACTGGCGAACCCTGGGCCGCCACAGCGGAGCACGCACCCAACCGCTTGTGCCACCGGGGCGGCCCCTGACGAAGTTGATTTAAAGAAGAGAAAAAAAGTTTAAAGGCTAATGAAAAGATGATCAATTCCTAAAATGATCCAGGAAATGCTAATTAATATTTAATACAAATTTTCACCTTTTAGATTACAAAAATTAGATTGATAAATACAAGTGTTGGGGAGAAAAGGGCGGGAAAGATACTCTCATACACTGCAGATGGGTATGTAAATAGGTACAACCTTTTTGGAGGGCAACTTGGTGGCACCTGTCAAAATGCAAAATGCTCACATCCTTTCACTTAGCAACTCTTCTAAAGAATCTACCCTCAGAACTACTCATGCAATTATATAACGATATAAGATTGCACACTGCAGAACATTTTGTAAAAGTGAAAAACCTGTAGCTACTCCAAATGCCATCAACAGAGGAATGGAGCAAAAGCTATGGGACTGCCACACAACAGAACTCTTAAAATGAAACTAAATTACCAGTGAATGCAGTAGGTCTGCACATCCTGACAGGCAGTAACTATCATGCCCACTTTATACCACATGCACTAGAAAAAGGACACACACAAAATTGAAGACCAGCATTACTCCCAGCTCCCCCCTTTTCTTTTTTATACGTCAGTACTGCATCTTGTTCAACAAGCACGTCCTAGTTTACAGTTCTGTTTTTTAAAAAAAGCTCATGAAGAAACATAAACCAATAACGAAGCAGCCTCACCTGGCTCGGCCTCGGTGCTCTGCGTACCAGGCTGTAATTCTCTCCTCCCACATTTCTGGAGTCATTTGATACAGATTTATTACCTACCAAAAAGTAGAGCAAAATAAAAAACCCCTACACAAAGACAGTTTTGGTATCGTTTGCCATTTTTATAATTATGCATCATTTTTACAAAACAGCAAAGCTATTTTTAAAAAGCCACATACAGGGAGCCAGTCACATGCAAAGGTGGACATGTAAACAAACATCATTCAATTTGAGTCTCAACTCGGAAAGCTGCACCATTACTTAGGCCCAGGTGTGCCCCTCGCCTGGCAGGGGCCCCTTTTTCCTGGGCTGTGAGACCCAGAGGAAGAGCTCAGTCAGGAGCAGTGCTCACTAATCCTGGGCGGGGCAGCCGGGCCAGGCTGTGCACGCTGCTGCCTTCGCTGCACAGAAGCTGTCAAATGAGCAGGTCAAGTCAGGGAAAGGTGAGGAGCAAGCCTTTATTACACATGACAGATGAGTGCAGCTATAAAATCGGAAGCAGCAAAAGGGAGGGAGGGCCTGCTTCTGCGGCTAATGAACAAGATGAACAACACCAAGGATTAAAAACTACAATGCCCACCCCCAACCCATCACTATCCACCCCTCACAGCTGCCAACAGCTCAGTTCCCCCGGCTGAACACACGCTGCTCCAAACTCCTCCCTGGGAATCACTGCAGCTCACCCATCTTTAAAGAAACAATCATTTACAGGCCATGCTAGTCCTGGCAACCCCAAACTAATTCCACGAACTTTTGCGTTTTAATATTCTTAACAGAGATTCCACACTCTTTACTCAAGATTGATTACAAAATATTTGTAAAAATGTTCTTGCCATATATTTCCAATATTCCTGCAAGTCCTTCAATTAGTTTTCTTGTAGACTACATATCTGCTATGTCTTCCCAAACAGGGAATTTGGTTTCTTACCCTTTTTGGAAGCAATTCCTCTTGGGCCAAAAATCCCCGCTTGTGAACAGAGGGGTCATAGTCCCCATACTGAAAGGAGAAGAAGGGGAGAGCAAGCGATTGAGATTCTCAAGAAAACTGCCATTTCTGAACCGGCTTGAATCAGTCTCATTCCCTCCCAGCTCTGGGGAGCAATTCAATTCTGATGACAAGTCAAGATTTCAACCTTGCTAGTTTGTTATCCTTGAATGAAAATACAAAGCTGATTACATCTATGAACAGAGCTGCATAATCTCCTAAGTGATGGATGGGTGATGCGCTAATAAGACTTTGACATTTATATAGAAATGTGGCTGAGTTTTCTAACTCTCAAAGAAAGCAGTCACTACCAAAACATTAGCTTTTGAAATGAAACAACACACACATCTGTGAAAGTTGTGATTAGCAACGTGTGATAAGAGTCCTACCTACAAATGCTTCTAAGTGGCTGGTAATTGGAGCTAACTGCTAGGTGGGAGCTGGGAATAATGCAGATAATATTTTTAATACCTTTCATTCAAGGCTCTGAAAAATGCTTTGGAAAAATCGGATGCCAACATTGTCATTCCTATTGTACAGACAAGGAAACGAGTAAAAGGTTAACTGATTTTCCTAAAGCCACAGAGCAAGTCACCAATGGGACCAGAAATGGGCCCTGCATTTTAATGCGTTCATTCAGGGACAACAATTTGGAAATTTATTTTATGATTTAAGAAAAAATATCCCTTTCTTTCCTAGAAAACTTACATCTGACCAGGAAATAATCAAAAATGATGGAATTTTTTAAAAGAAACTAACCATAAAACATATAGAACATAAAATCAAAGCCTATCTCTTGTCAATTAGAATCCAGGGGCTTTTCTTTTGATCAAAGCTCAGTATTTTGGTATAATCTTCTATAAACATTTATCCTTTTAGCTACTAACATTGAAAAAACAAAAGAACGGTCATGCACAAGGCTACTGGCTCTATGTACCACCAAATCGGGTCAGGACATGGCCCACTCTCTCATTTCCAAAAAGCCTCAAGTTAGATTTCTGGTGTGTTTTCCAACAGACACTCATGGGACCGAAAGGAGATGTTCATCATAAACTTGACATCATGTCTTATTCCCATACCACCATGCCTCATGAATTGATATTTTTTATGAATCTCATAATTATCTTGTGGATAGCAGAATTATATTGTACTGTTTTTTGAGCGTTAAAGGAATTAGTCAAATTTAAACATTTAAAATATGCCACAGTTTTTGTAACCCTGTCTAACTTGAAGGAGCTGGTTTCTCCTGATCTCTGAAAGGCCAGGGGATGCAATAAGGCAGCAACTGGTCTGAGCTTTGCCGGTGCTCTCTCGGAGGCAGCTGCAGAGCATAGGGAGAAGCCTGGCTCTGGAGGCCAGCTACTTAAGGTTCAGTCCCAGCTCTTTCACTTATTAGCTACAACCCTGAAAATTTTTGTCTCAGTTTTCTCAGCTGTAAAATGGGGATAATAACAGTATTCATCTTATAGGACTCTTGTGGAGATTAAATTAAATAATACCCATAAAATTTAAAAAACTATGCTTGACACAGAGCACTCAATACAACCTGATGTCAAAAGATAAAAACGCAGGTCGTGTCACCTCTCTCAGTCTGTTTTCTGATTTGTCAAATCAGAGCATTGGTCTTAGAGGATTTTGAAAGGAGTGGGGGGCTCTGGAATATCCCCGGAAGCCTTGAGTAAGGCACCCTCTCTCTAAACCTCAGCTTCCTCATTTGGAAAGCAAGGGTCACAATAGTGCCTGCCTCATAGCGGGTGATGAGTGTGGAGTGAGACAATCCAGGTAAGCATTTTGCATAAAGCCTGGCTCATAGTGAATGTCAAGTATTATTGTTACCCTCTGCGTTATTTATAATGACACTTGTCACTGTTTGCCTCTCTGATTTTTGAAGGGGTAGGCTGCTAAAGAAAGCCCTGTTAGTTGCATTTGCAAACCTTTCTACAGTGCTGACCAAACTAACGCAAAGGTAGGCAGATATGCAAAGTTGAAGTTGTAAATTCAGGTTCCAAAAGCTTGCAAAATTAACGATCCACATTATCACACTGAGCTCCCAGCTACTCCACTGATCAAATATGTTACATCTGAGCAATGCAGAGGCAGCAAAGACCCTGCTGAAAGCACTTCTCCACTGGACTAACTCCACTTACAACATAAAAGCCACCTTGATGTATATGTCTGCACTTAAATGTCTCTTTAAAAAAGAAAAGATGAAGAAAATCCTTCAGTTGTGGCAGTTGGTGAATATACGAGCAAGTCAGACCACTCCATAAATGGAGACGGCTGTTCGCGTCCTTTTATGTACAGATGCATTCTCATAATATAACCAGGGAGTGGATCTACTGTGAAGCTAATGAAGCCTGGGTTTCAGGTCTCTGCACCTGCATGGGCCAGTACTTAATTTATATTCATAATTTGGTATTCTTGCATTAAAAAGAACCCCCTAAGTTATATAAACTTCAGGCCCCACAAAACCTGGATCCACCCCTGATATAAACTAATTGAATTTAAATTCAAGGAGGAAGTTCACCACTTAGAAAACTCTTGGAGTCAATTCTTAGGTTAAACAGAGGCTCCTTCTGGATATTAAATACTTTCCTCTGCCTATACATATGGAAAATTAGACCAAATGCTCTGAACTGGATTTCACAAAACATTAATATTTGATCAATACATATATAGAATAAATAGTTAGATCCCTACCACATACCAGTCACTAAATTCCAGATGGATTAAAGACTTAAACCTGTGAATGAAAATCCATAAAAATAGCATAACAAAATATAGCAGAACATGTGTATAATAAAGGTGGGTGAAGCTATTCTAAAAGTCACTCAAAATATAAAAAGAAAAAAATTGACAGGGGCCGGCCCCGTGGCTTAGCGGTTAAGTGCGCGCGCTCCGCTACTGGCGGCCCGGGTTTGGATCCCGGGCACGCACCAACGCACCGCTTCTCCGGCCATGCTGAGGCCGCGTCCCACATACAGCAACTAGAAGGATGTGCAACTATGACATACAACTATCTACTGGGGCTTTGGGGAAAAAAAAAAACGAGGAGGATTGGCAATAGATGTTAGCTCAGAGCCGGTCTTCCTCAGCAAAAAGAGGAGGATTAGCATGGATGTTAGCTCAGGGCTGACCTTCCTCACACACACCCAAAAAAAAAAAAAAAGAAAAAGATTGACAAGTCTGACATGTAAAAAATAGATAAAAGGTTAATATTCATAATATTCAAAGCTCCTATAAATTAATTAGAAAAAGATAACAATATAGTAGAAAAATGAGCAAGTTGTAAACACCTGATTCCCAGAGCAAAGAAATCCAAATGGCTAGTAAATCTAAGAAAAGATGCTCAGCCCCAATGGTAATCAAGGAAATGAAAACTTTTAAAAATCTATTTTTCTGTCAGATTAGCAAAAATTTAAAAGACTGATAGCATCCACTGTTGACGAAGATGTGGAAAAACAGGTATTCTCATACACTATTCTTAGAAGTTAAATTAGGATGACACTTTTGGAGGGCAATTTGGTCATATCTATTTAATTTTTTTATTTAGATAAAATTTACATACATAAAATTCACCACTTTAAACATATATCTCAGGGGGCTGGCTCTGTGGCGTAGCGGTTAAGTGTGTGCGCTCCACTGCTGGCACCCCAGGTTTGGATCCCGGGCGCCCACCGACACACCGCTTGTCAGGCCATGCTGTGGCGGCGTCCCATATAAAGTGGAGGAAGATGGGCACGGATATTAGCTCAGGGCCAGTCTTCCTCAGCAAAAAAGAGGAGGATTGGCACGGATATTAGTTGAGGGCTGATCTTCCTCACACACACACACTAAATAAATAAACAAAATTTAAAAATAAATAAATAAATAAACATATACTTCAGTGGTTTTTAGTATACTCAGTATACTAAGTATACTTTAGTATACCACTACCCAATTCCAGAATACTTTCATCACTCCAAAAAGAAATCCCATACACATTAGCAGTAACTCCTAATTTCCTCCTCCATCCATCCCCTAGCAACCACTAAATCTACTTTCTGTGTCTATGGATTTGCCTATTCCGGACATTCCACATAAATGGAATCACACAATATGCGGTCTTTTGTGTCTGGCTTCTTTCACTTAGCATTATTTAAATTTTAAATGTTCTTATCCTTCAATCCATTTATGCCATTTCTTGGTATCTATCATAGAGAAATACTGTTCACATATGCCCAAACAGGCATATTCAAGGATGTTCACTGCATCCATTTAAATTCTAGAAAAATAACAGAAAGAAAAACAAACCTGAATATCTACCAATAAAGAGGTATTTAAATAACCACAATCCCTCCTTTCTATGAAATATTGTTCAGTAGTTTAAAAAGATGAGGTGCGTCTATCTGACAGTTTCAAGTGAAAAGGGCGTGTTGTGCAGGGGTTCCTCTGGAGTAGCCACCCAGAAGTGGAATTTCAGGGACTCAGGGATTGTGTCTCCTTACCTGACTGGCCCCTACCACACCCATCACTCCCCAGAGGTTATGCCAACTCACAGTCCCTTCCAGCAAGTAAATGAGCTCAAACAGTGCTCCCATCCGATTCACTAATCCCTGTCAATCTTGTGGGTTTGAAATGTTACCTTATTCTTGCTATAACTTTTCTTTTTCTTGATTACTAGTGAGATTGAGCATCTTTTTGTATTTACTGACCATTCTTGTTTTCTCTTCTATAAAGTGCTTGTTGTTAGTACCCTGTGCACCATTTTTCTCCTGTCTTTTTCTTATAAACTTAAGAGTTCTTTATATTCAGGGATATATCTGCAATTCTACTTCTAGAAATCTACCTTAAGGGGAAAAAGCTTTTTGCACATGTACACAAGGAATCATATAAATGGATTTTCAGTAAAGCTCAGTTTATAATAAGGAAAAAGTAGAAACTAAACCTATCTCTCTCTCAGAAGGGGGATAGATAAATTAGGTTTATTCATCAATAGCTACCATACAGCAGTTAGAATCAATGAGCTACATCTACACATACAACATGATACATCTCAAAATTGATGTTGACTGAGAAAAAATATCAATTTGTAAAAGGATAACCCAAAGGGGGGGGGGCATATGCAGAGTATAGCACCATTTATATCAACTTTAGCCTCCTGGATATTTTTAAGTCAGTGTCTTCCCATCTAACTGACCACTGCCTGAGGCATGAACCTCATAGTCTCTCACCAGGATGACCATCACAGCCTTCTAATAGGTCTCCCTGTTTCCAAACTCATCTTACTCCAATCTGTCCTTCACACAGCCACAAAAGGATCTGTCTAAAATACAAACCCTTCACTGGCTCTGCATAAAGTTAAGATCCTTTATGATCTGGTCCTCTGCAGACCTCTTCAGCCTCAACTTTTGCCACTCTCTACCTCTGCGGTACATATATCCAACTTCTTAACTAAATTGCCTTTTGACACTCTGTCCCTAATTTGCATCAAACAGTACTAAGAAGCACTAAGCCTCTCTCTCCCACTATTCTTTTCTCTCTCTGAACACTACAAGTTTGCTGGCCAGCACAGCAAGATTGGTAAATTACAAGCCATTCTCTCCCAAAGTCTTTTTTTTTTTTTTTTGTGAGGAAGATCAGTCCTGAGCTAACATCCATGCCAATCTTCCTGTTTTTGCTGAGGAAGACCAGCCCTGAGCTAACATCTATTGCCAATCCTCCTCCTTTTTTTCCCCAAAGCCCCAGTAGATAGTTGTATGTCATAGTTGCACATCCTCCTAGTTGCTGTATGTGGGATGCCGCCTCAGCGTGGCCGGAGAAGCGGTGCGTCAGTGCACGCCCAGGATCGGAATCCGAGCCACCAGTAGTGGAGCGCGGGCACTTAACCGCTAAGCCACGGGGCCGGCCCCCCTAAGTCATTTTTAATAAGAACACATTTCAAACACCAAATTGTCAATATAAAATCCAACAGGTGGCTTAAAATATTGCAAGATGGTTTGGCATGTCATGTGACTGGACAAAAAAACCCCAGCCCATACTTTTGATTCAAACATTACTTAAACTCCAACCAAGAAATATGGTTCTTGTTAACTGAACCATGTGATTAATATTTGTATTTATACTTCGAGGGTAATTGTTTCTTTATGCTTTGGAATTAACTGTGTCTGTATCATTCAAACAGCTGAAATCCTGTAATGAATACATTTGTGCATAATTACATTCCATGTGTTAATGAGCTCAATTCGCTTTCCCCTCCACACTTCTAAAGTTCCTTTCTGTTTCAGAAAGGTTGTGGAAGAAAACAAACTGAATATGATGGAAGGAACCAGTATGATTTACTGAAAAGTCTGATTAACATGGCCATTCATTCATTAAATGAATCTGGAATTTAGTAAGAGGCCGTGCGTGCTACCCACAGACCTCCCTCACCCGCTGGACAGCGAGGGGCAAGAGCAAAGTGCTGGGTTAGGCAACCAGACCCTAGGTTCTCATTCCCACTCTGCTCTCCAGTTCCGTTCTGCTTCAAGTCCCGTCCATCAAGAGGTAGCTACAAAATTCCACAAAAGAATTAACATAGAGTATTGTGACCATAGACAAATTACCAATCCTTTCTGAGCCTTAAATTCTTCATCTGCAAAACAGGCATATACTCTCAAGCCTTGGCTTACGGAACAGACTACACCGAGTATTGCACAAAATGATCATACATGAGCTTTGTAAAACAGTAAAAAACTACAGGCATGTAAGATCTTATTAATATTGTAATCAGAGATATCCTTTTAATATTAACCTAGAAACTAGAAACATGTTCTAATAATCCTTAGTTTCCCAAATGCAGACTTGAAGCCATAGATTACCTTTATTTGTAAGATCCTGAAAATTTACACCGGAAAAAACAGTTAGAACATCCTCCTCCATATGAACCACATATGCTGTCTGTGAATCACTTTCATCTCTAAATTAGTAGGGTCCAAATTAGTAGGGCTTTCCTACAGTGAAATCCGTTTAAGCAAACATCTGCTTGTTCCCTGAAAAGTTATTTTTTTCCACAAGTGGCCTTTGAATTTGTGGCGCAAAATCCATGCAAAGAAAATGTAGCCTTTGAGACTGAAGCCCTTCAAAGAGAGGTAGTGTCCTTGAGAGCCTGGGTCTCCTCTCAGCTGGGGAGAAAGCTGCTAAAAAGCAACTCGGTTCTGGGCCAGGAAGGGCTCGGATTTAATGAAAGTGACAACGACTGCTTCATCACTGTCAGGGCGATACTGACTGAAAGGACACGTTTTTCCTGTTATTAATATTCTTAATCAAAGCATAAAAGGAAGCATATGCTTTAGCTGAATCAAGGCCCATTTTCTGTTTTTTCAATTACTCATTTTTCTGGGCAGTGGAAAAGGGGAGGCACAAAATTCAATCCTAAAGCCATGAATTCTGCCCTTAGCTTTACCCAAGACTGTCCGGATGACCTTGGGCAAACTGCTGACAGCGGATACTCACTTTAGTGTCTGTATCTGTGACAGAGTCAACAACCCCCTCCCCAGGCCTGGTGTATACTGAGCAAATATTAGACGAGTCATCAAATGATTAAATTGATTCTGGTGCTTCTGTTAGTCTGATCAGCATGAATGGACTTTTTTTTTCTCTCCAAACGACAGGCCAATTACTTCCTGGCTTTGATCTGAACATGTATTAAGCTACCAAAAAAAGTGGGAGTATCTTATTAATTTTTATAACACTACAGGGAAATGGCTTTATGGACACCTTTAATTAAAAAGGAAAATAATAACTGGAAAGATTATGAAAAATAACTAAAGTAATGAAGATGTCTCAATTCTGAGGACATCTTCTTATGCTGCAGTGAAAGGGAGGAAGCAGAGGGACCAAGAGAAGGCGGTATGTGATCGAAGTGGGATCTCTGAGGGACATGAAGCACCCTGGGCCGTCTCTGTAGTTGGTCTTGTAAGAACACAGAAGACAAAAACACAAGACCAGTGGTCTCCCTCTCCACCACTGCCAATCCGCAGTGATTTCCCTGTGAATGACTTTCAGCTCACCAGACAGCTCAAGTGGGCTCAGTGGACAAAAGAGCCTGCAGTGCCCAGCCGTCAGCACTGCTAGCACACTCATCAGGGATGAATGAAGCGGAGTATTCTCTAGGGTGTGGCGTGGTCCCCACACAAGGGCCTGCTGGTCCTCAGAAGATGAGTTTGGAATGAGGACTGGGCCTTTCTGACCTAAAGGCCATGTCTCGCCAAAACTGAAGACCATAAGTTCATTTTTCCTGATTAATAAGAAAAGAGGTTGGTCCAGTGAATGTATTAACCACATGTGCACAACGAGATTACACAGAAAATTCATCAAGCTGTACACTTATCATTTGTATACACACACACACACACTCTCTCACACAAGATTATACAGAATCTGGGACAGTGATAGTGGTTCCGCCAGTCCACAAGTCCCACAACATCTCACTTTCTGGTGAAAATCTCTCTGCAGCCTAGAAAATTCAAAGAAACAGACGACTGGAGCAATCCCGTGACATGTATTTAATGCCCAGGAAGAATGCATTTTTCTTCTTTGAGCCTACCTTGGCCTGGACGGCATAGGAAGCCAGGAGCACAGAAGCCTCGGGAGGGCAGTAGATCTTCTCATCTAGAATCTGCTTCTTTACCTGAAAGGGGCAACAAGGGAGACATGACACCGTGTGCGTGGAAGTGAGCTGTGCAGGCTGGTCACAGCAGATGGCTGCAGGGTATTCTAATGAGGGCTGCCAAACCAGCCTGTTAATCATTTTCTGACACAGGGTACAATTTTTTTTACTGCTGCAGACAGGTTGGGAGTTCAGTCACTGGGAAGTTCCTGGTAAGATGACTGTGCATAAAAAACCCTTATCTCTTCTGTTCATGATCAGATGCTGAAGAGGAAAAACAATCTTCATGGTTAAACCAGAGACTGACATCTGGACTGTGACAGAACAGAGCTGTGAACTCGAGAAGTGTCAGGAGCAACTCTGGTGGTGATTGCAGCCTTGGCCCCTGCTGAGTACATGCAGCACTTGAGGAAATGCAGTCTACTTTCAAGTCTTAACACAAGATAACAAGTCAGCAAGGCCACTGAGTTATGACTGTAGAAAAAAACCATTACTTTCAATATGCTTGCTCTAAGGGAAAAGGAAGCAATAAAGTTTGATCGATTAAACTTTTAAGTACACGTGAGGTCCAGGAAATATAATTCTTAAGCCATAATGTTGAATTAACATGTCATTGCATTTAATTTCTTAGAACGGTGCGGGGTGTGACGTTTCAGACATAGAGGCAAGAGAGCCTTGTGAAGTGGGGGCTCACTGAAGTAAACATAGCAGGAAAGCCAACTCTCTTTTCACAGATGTCAACAGTCACCAGATTCATACAAGTAGTAAATTTTGCACTGCTCAGCCACGAAAACGCTCCAATATTTCAGTATGAGGGAAAATTAAGCCAAAGTCTTATGAGGGATGGGCACTGCTTCCAGGTACTTACAAGAAACCCATCTCTATAATGCTAGGACATTCTGGGGCCTGGGAAATCAAATGGTTTCATTTGAAGCAGCGCAACTTCCTAATCACTTAGTTTCTTTTCAAAGAAAAAAAAAGTCACACTACAGAAAAACTGAAAGGGATTCCCTTTGACCAGAAAATGTTAGGGGTGTAAGAATATGTATATATGTATGTATATGTATGTATGCACGTGTGTGTATATACACACACACCCACACACATTTTTTGTAAACTTTCTTTGTAAAAGAAATTATTTGGGGGGCTTTATTACATTTGCCTTAATATTTACTGAACACAATAATCTGAGGCTCAAACTAATCATAGGAGGACTACGTGACAGACTATATGTCTACTTCTGGGGAATCATGTCATTAACGCCCCTGCTGCAATCTCTTCTGCTACTGACAGTGGGCACCTTGAGTCACACAAGCAGCTCCAGCGCCAATCACTGTCACTAACTATGAAACTGGGGAAGTGCTCTGCTCAGGCACTAAGAACACAGGCAAAACCGACAGGGTTTTCATCCTCACACTAACCCCCCCTTCATTGTGCCCCCAGACGGTCAACTAGCTGTCTTTGAACCTATAATTGTGGATCGCCTAATTTCTTCAATTCGGTTGAGCAATTACTTATGGAATGCCTACTGTGCACTCAATGAGCCTTGCCTTTAAGGGGCTTACAATCTAACGAGGGAGTAAGGGAGAAACAAGACAATTACAGACAAAGAAGCATGATGTGTGAAGTTCCACATGCATGGAATTAACCAAGTGTCACCGGAGTTCTGAAGTCCTGCCTTAGAGAACAGATTTTGAATTTCTGGAAGAACTACTCTTTATAAGATTCTCTCTTTAGACTTCCTTTACAATTACTGACTACTTTTAAGTTAGTGAGAAGAAAACAGGATCCACCTTCAAAGAGGTTTCAAGTTAGGCTGCTACTTGTATCCATTCTTGCACCATCACATTTGTGCAACTTCATCTGACACCAATTCTCATCCCTCAAGTATAGTTCTATTCTGAAGTTTTTCCATTACAGAACCAAAGGGACTGACTTTCCAGAGGTGAAACATTTTCGCAATGTGAAGGCACTTGTGGTCAACTCCGAGGGCTTCCTCCAGGCTGCCTCTGCAGCCGTGCCCGGGTGAGACCTCTCAGAGTTAGGGGTAGCATGGACGGCTGTACCTGCAAGAAGAATAAATGTTGTGTGATCTCTTGAACCAGCTCCTCCTCGGCATTCTCAGGATAAAATTTGGCCAGGAAGTGAAAGGTGACCGGCTCTTCCTTTGAAACATCATGATCCAGCACCTGCAGAATTGCAAAGCAAAAGACAAACAACTCTATTGGCACCTCTTCCTCCCATGCCACCATCAAAGAACCTTTTGCAGGGAGGATATAAATATTTTTCCCCTCTAAATTCATCCCATTTCCCAAAATTTGTAATTCTTCAGTTTGAAGCTTTCACAAAGCCATCCATAACAAGAGGTAACATTCACTTCACATGGCGTTTCTGAACCCAATTAATCAATATCCCCGAGGGCTGATGGAGCTAAGATTATTAAGGAACAACTGTTCTCAAGGCCACAGAGATAGTTAAAAACTAGAAATTTATAACTCAAAGGTCTTGGGCACTACCCTTGAGGGTAGGCTGAAGGTTTTTTAATTTTCTGAAGTAGTGGAATCTTCCTTTATTCTTTTTTCTTGCCGCTGACTCCCAACATTTAGATCCACATTAGCATGGAGCTTAGAGATGATGAACTGGGATCTTTGTGAAATCATCTAAACATTAACTGAGCAACAGAAGTGAAACATGTCCATCGTGGCAACCCTTTGTTTCAAGGAACCTCTAGAGATGCCCCACAAAATACTTGAGCACAGTCAGTAAACCACACTGCCTTTAATCTTCTAACAATTTCATCCACCCACTAAAAAGCTTGAACCATCTGCTCTCCAGAATGAATTTCATTTCAGGACATAAACATGCCATGTGACAGGCTACAAGCCTCCATTAACATGTGTCATAATATATTTCCTTTGAGCAGCAGGTTCCATGGCTCCTGATGCCCCCAATCTACTATCCATTTGGCCAACACTCAGGTACGATTTAAAATTTACTTTGCTGAGAATCACAAAAAGACACAGAAAGTTTTGCTGTCTTTGATAGATAACTCTCTATTCTCCTGCCCAAATTCCAGGTGGCAGTGCCCAAGAGATTCAAAATAAACCTGATCTAAGACAATCTGGCTAACATTGGCACACCGTGGCACTTTGATGTTCACAATCATTGGGAATTAACATATGAAATTTATAACCAGCGGGGATTCCAACATGAAGATTCAGATTACTGTGCACATATGTAAACATACTTTGAACACTTGAGTTTAGAGTCAAACTGGTAAAAGATAGGGGGCTTTCACTGCTTATCACGCCCTGTAGTAGAAAATAAAATCAGGTAGGTAACTGCAGGGGGTACCATTTGGGATAAGAATTAGATATTGACTTACTTTGAGATTCTGGGGTCTTTTAGGAGTCACTGACAAAAGCATATGGCCCTGCTCTCCACTTTCTTCGTGGTTAGGTAGCAGGTAAACAGGTAAGTGTGCCCTGTGTGCACATATGAACCCACGCAGAGGGCAGTTCCCCTAGGCAATATCCATTTCTAAGCTACATTAGAACTGTTGGGATCCCAGACTTGTCTACCATGCTCAGAAGCCCCAGAAAATCTTGAGGACAAAATGGACATTCTTTCTTCACCATAGGGACCAGGGCACTCTTTATTCCTTAGATCATTAATGATTAAATTGAGTTGGGCCATGGTATTTCTCAAAAAGACTTTAAAAAAATTCCCTAAAGAACATGAGCCCCAAGAAAATCTTTCAAAGACATAAATCGAAAAAAAAAGATAATATAATAGTAATTTTTATTCATAAAGCCTGACTAGTGGTTCAATAGACTGAACAGCATAAAGCCAGAAGCAATCAGCCTGGTGACAATGAGTGAAGAAGCCAGGGATGGCAGCTGTTTAATTCTGGTTGGATCTGCCTGCCTAGGAGAGCCTGTGAGGGGCAGAAAGCCTGTGGCATCTCCAGGACCCACTTTCTGCATGACTTACTTCAGGACTTGCCCCATTCTCTACGATGTACCCGTAATGCCTCACGATGAGGAAATAAGCTAGGCATGTGCTCAGGGACAAACCAGAGTACACATCAGCCCCACTGGTTTCATCCAGTTCCAGCCCAACCTTCTTGTCCATTTTGAGCCAGGCCACGGTGTCCTTGATTGTGTACTGCAGTCCAAAGAACCAGGTTTCCCGAAGCCCCAGGGTCCGGCACACCAAATCAAATAGGTCCTTCCCTTTCCACTTCATCTGCAATATAACAAACCAACAGGGAAGGACATTGTGAGCAAAAGTCATAATCCACTCACACAAAAACCTTTTCTCTGGGCTCCCTTCTCCCAGATTCCAAAATGTGGGGATGACACTAAGACAGCTGACGAGCACAGAATTCCTAAATAATTTTAAAGCTTCCTACACAAAATCATGAGTGGGAAAATACCAATTAGAGCTTAATGGCGGCTTAATCACTGCAAAGCACACACAATACCTCCCTTGGACAGTTCCTTACAGATCTTAATATCCCCAAAGCTAATTTAGGAAAGCTAGTAAATAAGCACTCTCATTTAGGAGAGTCTAGCTTCTTGAGTTAACCCAGGGACATGGCTAGCTTCTAGGGACATTAATTTCCTTGAGATTTTGTCGTTGACTTTTTTTTTAAATCATGACTCTGCCCTTTGATAAAAGGCTAGTGTTTTTTTAAATTTAAAGACTGGGTTTACTAGAAGTTTTTTTAAAAAGCAATATAGGGGAGGAAATTGGAACCAAAGTCATAAATCATGAAGAAAAAGAACAATTAGAGACCAGTCAATCCAATTACAGGTCTCTCCTATCACGATGAGCAACTGAGGCCAAAGGGGCGGCGACGCACCCACAGTCACATGGAGCAATTTCAAACTCTAGGTATCTAAACCCAGGGGACGAATAGACACCAATACACTGCAATGTGCTTATCCTATAGCCTCACTTCCAAAAGGACCTGAAGCAAGGGCTGCTAAGCCCTTTCTTCACCTATTCAATCTTGTAGCTGGAAAAGCAAGTTCAACATCTTAATAGTGGAAGAAAATGCCCACCAGCTTAGTAAATGTTGCCACCTTGTGGTTTTCAAGTTAAATCACCCAGGATGTTCCCATACTACCTCTTAGCTGGTGCTCGCCCCCCAAATCCAATGGCCCTAAGTATCAGGTGGACATTCAAATGTACACCTGGGTACAGTTAATGAACACATAAGACACATCACAGAGATGGTGGTCATAATAAGAATAATCTTGGGATTCAAAGACAAGGTCGCCCGAGACTGGAACAGCAAGACCACTAGACTGCAGAAGCATCCATCCTTCTCCTGCCCTCATTAGAAATCTCCACCCAATGTCCTGGCACACTGAAGACGCATAATGAAAGGGAATGGTAAAAAATTTAGGGTTCAGACACTTGTTATAAAAGCTAGCAGGAAAAAAATAAGTTAGACCTCTAATATCTGATTGGCTTTTGCTAAAACCTGATTCTACAGGGGATTTTTCAAGTAGGCCTTCTATTTTTAAAATATGTGAATGAACAGTGTGTTCTCTATGAGGTGTTCAACAGCAAAGCCCATCCCTTCTCTGTGTTTACAGTCGAAGTCAAATTGCAAAGTAGCAACCTAGATGGAAGGACACCAAAGCCGCAGCAGACAAGTGGTTGGGATATGGATCGGCTTTGTCCTTCACCACGGCCTCTTCTCCTATATGTTCTTCTACCTCTGCCCTGTCCCCTCTCTGTGACTTTAGTGCGGCCCCTGGAACACTACAAAGGTTGAGGTCTTTATAAATTACTTTAAGTAGAATAAAATAAAATGACAAGTTTTATTTACTTTTTTTCTTTTTTTTGTGAAGAAGATCAGCCCTGAGCTAACATCTGCCAATCCTCCTCTTTTTGCTGAGGAAGACTGGCCCTGAGCTAACATCCATGCCCATCTTTCTCCACTTTGTATGGGACGCCGCCACAGCATGTCTTGCCAAGCAGTACGTCGGTGCGTGGCCGGGATCCGAACCAGTGAACCCTGGGCCGCCGCAGCAGAGTGCGTGCACTTAACCACTTGCACCACCGGGCCGGCCCCGAAAAGTTTTATTTTAAAAGATGATCTCCTTCCCTTTTTTTAAGACTTAATAGGGCCGGCCCTGTGGCTTAGCGGTTAAGTGCGCGCGCTCCGCTGCTGGCGGCCTGGGTTCGGATCCCGGGCGCGCACTGGCGCACCGCTTCTCCGGCCATGCTGAGGCCGCATCCCACATACAGCAACTAGAAGGATGCGCAGCTATGACATACAACTATCTACTGGGGCTTTGGGGAAAAAAAAGGAGGAGGACTGGCAATAGATGTTAGCTCAGAGCCGGTCTTCCTCAGCAAAAAGAGGAGGATTAGCATGGATGTTAGCTCAGGGCTGATCTTCCTCACAAAAAAAAAAAAAAAGACTTAATAATGCTTGTTGGCACTCCCATTTCCCAGTCTGACAATAGGACAAAGGGTTTTTTAATTCACAGCAGGTTTTAATTCCTACAGGCAGACTTCACTAAAGAAAAGTTGTTTTGGAAAACTAGAAGCTTCAGGATGCTGATTATCCTCTTGTCTCTATTTTAAGGCAGTACATAGTATATAAATTATAAATGACTACCTTGCTACAAGGTAATGTAACACTAAAGAACAGACATTAACTTGGAGAAGTTAAACACCCAAGGGCCAAGGAGATCAAGGTAACGATTCCCAATCTGCCATAACTCACGGCCATGGCCGGGCCGGGCTTTGGCATCAAGGGGCTGTCTGCGAGTGGGATGTGCAGTGCATGTAAACGAAAGCTGCGAAGCGAATGATGAGTGAATTTCCTGATTTGGGAGTTTAAATTCTCAAACATAATATTGTATCAGTGCAATTTTCCTACATTCCTTTCCACTTCTTTGTTTTTAAAATGCAAAATTATATTTATTGAATGCAAAGAGACAATGTCTTTGTTCTCATGGAGCTTGCAATAAAGTGAGGAGGGGGAAAAATTCTCACACCGATTCAGAATGCCCTACTTAGATTTTTAACTTTGACTCTAAGAATCGTAGTGTCAGAGCTGGAAATGAGCCTGAGTAATTTACCTACTGTAGACCCATCCCCTTTCTGTACAAATAAGGAAACTCAGTCACAGATTCTTTGGCAGCCTGCTAAAGCCCACAGTGGCCTTTTTCATGGTGATCTAAGGTAGGCATCCCCCCACCCAGTTCCTCAAGCGCCTCTTTTCCTGCTCTGTGGGATTCCTTTCAGCTTGCTCTCCACCAGCACTCCCCAGCCACCTTTTCCACAAGTAACGGGTGTCATAACACTGTTCTCCCACCCTGAAACAAAATCATTCTTGGAAGAGCCAGATATTGCTCCTTCACAGCTCAATGTGAATTAAAGCCTCTGCTACCTCTCTTTTATTCTTTCAACAAGTGTTACAGAGCATATCCTACATGCCAAGCAATGTTATACACTGAGGACACAAAATGGTGGCAGCACGGTCCCCACAGGAGACTCAAGCAAGGACCCAGGTCGGAAAGGGCTTTAGAGAACAAGTGAGAGTTAGATGAAGGAGAGAAGGAAATAAGTCTAAAAAAAAAAGAAAATCATGATATCTACAGTGAACTGCAAGTCATCTGGTAGAGCTGAAACAGACAGCCTGAACTCAGGAGGGGGCCTGGTGGGAATGGGGTGTGATGCAGGCCAGGTGGCTCGCCGTGGAGTCTTTGAAGACTCTTGGCAGAGGAGTGATGGGATCAGATCTGCATTCTGGAATGTTACCTGACAAAAGGATGGAGAATGGGTTGGAGGAAATCAAGAAGGACAGAAAGGAGGCGAACTCCTGCCTTCATGAAGGCAGTGGGAGGGAGAGAAAGCCTGAGAAATGGAAAAGAGGCAGAGTCACAGAACTGGTGCCTGAATGCCGGTGGGGACTGAAGGAGAAAGAATCAAGAGGGCTGCTCGCATCTCTGGCTTGAGCACCAGGTGGTTCCACTAAAATAGATATGGAATACAGGAGAAGTAGCAAGTTTCAGGGGAATAGATGAGCAATTAAGCTTTAGACAGGATAAGTTAAGGTGCCTGAGGAAACCAGGTAGAGATGACCTCCATACATATGACTTAAAGTCTTAGCTCTATTTATAAAAGAAAATGTTCTACCTTTAAGTAATTAAGAAGTTTTTCTTTTTGGTTAAATCTTAACCTCCAACATGTTGTTTACCTACATGAGGTTGTACTTTTCTTTTTTTTTTTTTTTTTTT